GCACCCCCCCCCCACCAAACCGCCCCTTTTTCCATATCCTTGGATTATTATTCTCCAGCTCTCCACGACCGACGATCATGTGAAACATTATATCCAGAATCTAGATATCTGAATGAAACTTTTTTTTTAAATTGCAAATTACCTTCGGAATTAGTACCGGAACCGGGTTGGCTACCTCAATTTTCTGTGTATTTTAAAAACTTTTGTACATTGGTTTATATTTGTTAATGAAACTGGTTTGTTCCTAAATGGAAAGAGTTGTCAGAGTAGCTTACTAAAAATAACTGAAATTTCATGATCTCTTGTTCTTTTACTTACTGAAGGAGAAATTAAATAGATTTGTTCCTACTAGTATAGGGGTGTAAGATTGAATGTGCCACCCTTTTTTATTTTACCCCCTTCCTCCCCTCGTTTATTAATGTTGGACCACTTGTCCAATCCTCCCGTTTATTCCTAACACCCCCCACCCCCTCCCCTTTATTTTTATTCGATCCCTCAGAGTAGCTACGAGATATCGTCCGAGAGATGTGTGAGTCGTCGTGGTGAAATCAGGCGCTCGTCATAATAACGACATTGAAGAAACTGTCATTTTCAGCAAATTTTTTTTCTCCATTTTTTTAAAATCAAACTTTTGTTATTTGGCTCTACATTTTGAAGGTTCATTCAAAAGATCACATTTTTGTGTGGATTCTACTGGAAAAGCGTTGATTAAAAGCCGAAAAATGTAAATATTTTCAGTTTTCAAGTCATCACCATCTATGGAATTCACCAAACTTTGGTGGCATATCTGAGGAAAAGCCCCAACTGGACCAACGACCTGCCACCGAGCCCAACGAGGGGACACATTGCTCAAATGTCCAGAGCTGTGCTAGGGGGCTCCCGTGGCCTAGAGTTTAAGGTGTTCGCCTCTCATTTAAAGGTCCTGGGTTCATATCCCGACAGCAACGGAAAAAAATGTCTTCTCTAAAATTATCTACTTTCACCTCCTTTCTCGCTCCCACCTAATCTTCTGTCGTCTGTTTTCGTCTCCAATTTGGGGGGAGGGGGTGGGGGAGCAGAAAGTGGAGACGAACGCAGACGACAGAACATTGCAAGAGAGCAGGAAAGGAGGTGAAAAAAGACATTTTAGAGAAAACAATGTCCATTGCTATCCGGATTCGAACCCTTGACCTATTGAATAACAGGCAAACACCTTAACCTCTAGGCCATGAGAGCCCCTTGAGGCATTTCGTCACCTGATAGGTTTCGACCCCTGTAGAAAGGACAGTGTATCTATAGTGTGGTCAAAAATTCGTGGGGAATCGTATTGTCAAATATCTCCTCAACTATCGAAAACAGGTTCAACAATTTTTGCGCAATAACGTGTTTCAATTTGTCTTAACAGATCTACATTTTTGTAAACACCTGCAAGCTGTATTCAATAAAATACTAATAAAAAATCAAAGTGGGTGGTTTCTACAGATTTTTTAATGTTTACAGCTGGGGCAATATTGCTTTTAATAGCAAGCGCGTCATGTTTTTCTAATCGGGACATTATGCTTATTGAACGCATGTTTTGTGAACCATTACATCTAGTGCAAAAAATATGTTCGCTATAAAAATATATTCTTGTAACAAATATTTTGCAACTTAAAATTGTCATTGATGAGCTGTGACGTAGGCCATATGCGTAATCAAAAAGTGTGTGAGAAGCGGGAAGTGCAGTGAACAATACCATTTTACATGTGACAGAGATTTCATCTCAAGTATTTTATATAAATTTATTAACACATTTTTTTTTTAATCTAGCCCCAATTTTTCTAGGAAAATATGATTTAGTAAAGACAAATTGATACAAACTGCCAAGCAAAGTATGGATGACATTGATTCACCCAGTGGCGGTGGGTAGTGAAGGGATTATGGGCTTGAGCCCCTCCCCTCCCCCAACTCTGTCCATTAGTTAATAAAAGTCTCTTAAATAACGAAATAAGCAGTTGAAACCGTTATGATTGCTCACGATAAACACACAGTTATCAGCTTGGCGGCTTGCCCGTTTATCCACTCACTGTTGTCACCGCTTACAACTATAGTAACCTAACAGCCAATCAAATGTCGTTAGTGCTCAGAAAGAATAAGCCGGTTCCCACGCCCGACTTTAATTAAACTCTTCTGGTAAAAAGGCAGAAGACTTTTTAAAAAACAACACTGCACAGAGGGCTCACGCTCTCCCAGCCCTGACAATGAGGTGAAAGTGTACGACACACTTTCCCCCAGTGACACAGTTACCTATGCGCCCATTGGGCCTTTGTTAGGCGCGTTCTATTTTCCGTAACAACACGACCCAATCCACCTCATAGACGGTATGTGTTTGGAGTGCTGTGTGTTTGTGCCGCTGAGATTTAACAGTTATTAATTACATCAAACCACTTTTGAGGCAACTTTTTCTTCAGATAAAAACTAATTAGAGAAACTTGGAGGTGAAACGGCTTCGTCCTCACCGTCCAGAAGAATTTAACGTAGAACAAAGAGATGGCAGACAAAGGCGACTCTTCTCGTTTGAATGGTTCTAAAAATGACGTAGCTCGCAGAGAGTATAGAAAAATCACCACTGTTTTGTTCTTACTGCTTGCTTTTCGGTGGTAAAAAAGTGGAAGAAACCTAAGCCCCACCCAAATCTTGGTCCACCCACCGCCTTCACCCATTCAAGAGACATTTGAGGATAAGTAGCTCCACGAGGGGGTTGTTTCTTTAAAAGCAGATGTGCAAAAATGTAATGGTGCACCTTATTACGAGCGTATGGTACCGATGTTTCAGATATGACACTTGATAATGATGAAAGCCAACAAAATAAAAAACACACACACACACACACACACACACACACACACACACACACACACACACACACACACACACACACACACACACAAAACAGACTTTTAAATATAATTTTAAAAATAAATCGAAAAAACAATATGGACTCACCAGGCATAACAGTCGCGGGCACGGGTGCGTGACGTATCTGTCTGGTCTTTTTCGCCTGCTGCTGCTTTATGCACAGGACGATGAAAGCGACGGTGGTTATGAAGAAGATGCAGACGAAGACAATGCCGGCGATCATAGACACGCTGGAATGTTCCATAAGATATCATACAGTGAGACGGTTTTGGGGAGGGCACATACAGAGAGGTGTCTGAAATTGTGTTCATGTCTGTCTTTCTCTCCCGATCTCTTTCTTTCTTTCTTTCTTTCTTTCTGTCTTTCGTTCTTTCTCTCTCTTATTTTCTTTCTTTCTTTTTTTCTGTCTTTCTCTCTCTCTCTTTCTCTCTCTCTCTCTCTCTCT